CATTCTTGCATGTTTCATCTCTTTTGTCAATTTTATAGGCAATAGGTATTTTTTTTCTCATTCTTTCTTCACTTGTGGAGCAGCATTAGTAATATTATGTTTAACAATATTATTCATTTTTTTAATTTCAAACTGATAACAATTAAACATACAAAAATATCTATTATGTGTTAATTGTATAGTTACTGTAAATAAATTATATAACTCTAGCTCTGGACTACTAAATGCAATTTTAAGTTTTTTAATTAGTTTTCAAAAAATTTCTTGACATTTATAACAGACTGTGAACTTGTTTTTATTAATGGGTCTCTAACAAATTCTGAAACCAACAAGTTAAATCAGTTATATTCTGCTTGTACTACTTTAATATTTAGCCTTAAATTATCCAAATTAGTTAATGGCCCAGTTATATTTTCTTTTAGAAACTTTACTTTAAACATTTTCAAAGTCTTGTCATGAGCAAGATAACAGTTTTTTTGTGTTATATTTACTAAGAGCATTGTTTTAAGATTTTGAAACAGTTGTAAGTTGCTTTAAAGATCTGATAAAAATCATGTTACAGATTGAGCATATATTTTTTTTCTGGTTATAAGAAATAAAGAAGCAAATGTTATTAAACTATATAATTATAAATTAAAGTTTGCTATATGAATTTCAAACTTGTATAGTTTTAAGTATTCTGCCTATAGATAAAATTGTACAATGTTTTTAATAAATTATTGTTTGCTAAAATATCTTCAATAGGCATCTCTGTTTTCTGAATATATAGCTAAATTGCAACTCCAACTATTGTTCAAATGAGCTCAAGTATTCAAAATGTTGTCTAATAGTCAATAAACTTTTCAAATTTGTCAAGAAATTTTGCACTAAGCTGTAAGACAAGTTCAAAAAGACCATAACCTGAAAAGACAATAATTAATGCACTACATATTTCTATATTTTTCTACTACTGTCCTAAAATACAATGTACTGTTTGCTTTTTAATTCTATAGTCCTTCATATAGTGATATATTGCTTCATCATATACCAAATTCAATATGCTATTTTCTTTATAACTAAAGTCTTCTAAAAATAAGTTAACTGCTTAATAAACATTTTTATTTTTATTTGAAGCATTTTCTGATCTGAGAATCATAGCATTTAGTGGTGTTAAAAATATTATTAAGTCAAAATTTTTTTAATTGTTTTATTAATCTCTTTAACACCAAATTCATAATCTTAATTAACTAATTGATTAAAAACTGCATTAACTTTTTGTTGCCATTTTTCTATTATAAAACTTATACTAAAGAAGTTCTGATTTTCTAATAGATCTTCATCTAAATTAACAAGTTTTGGATGTTCAGATTGAATTACTATTCTTAATGTTGCATTGCAATAGTATAAGATATGTTAAAGATGTTACCATATTGGAAAGTTTGTTTTTTATATTAATATTACCTATAATTGCAAAATTTAGCATATTCAGACATAGATTAAGTCTTAGCTGAGAATTTGCAGCTAACATTCTTTTTTTTTGAAGATGTACTTTATAATCTCTAATATACAATACAACTCTAACTATATGAAGAATCTTATACAAAGATTTAATCATATTTAATTATTAACAAAATGAAGAAAGAACTTAAGTAAACCATATTTTTAAATAATAAAAAATAAAAGTAAATAATATTGAAGAGAAAAAAAGAATATATAGTTTGATTTTTTATATTTAATAAGAGTAAAGACAGATTTTGTTCTCTTTATTTTTTAGCTAATACTTGATTTTTCTTTTCTCTTATAGCTGTAATAAAGTTTACAAAAAAATTTATAAAAAAAATGATAAACTCTTTTTGATGATTATTTGGACCAAGTTAGCACTAAAAGTAGATTAAAGACTCTGGCTCCAAAGTAAATAATATTCTTAGTTTTATATTAAATAAACTTGCTGTTAACAAAGCTCAAGTATATAATATACCAAAAAGCAGATAAAACTTGAGTAGTTTTTGTCTTAAGTTAAGCTTTTTGTTTGGTAGACTCTCTTATATATTCAGATCTAAACTGAAAGGATATTCTGAAAACAAATAGAGACAAAATCAGTTCTCTGGTTAAGAATATTAAAAACAGAAAAAAAAGAAAAACAACTAGAAAAACTTTCCTTAACTTAGACCTTTGCAACAATGATATACCTTCTTTTTATCTTTTTTTTATTTTCTTTTTTTTTGAAAAGTAAAGATTTTGGCTTACACCTATCAAAAGATTGACATTGTGTATTACTTTCTTTTGCAGTTACATGTTTATTTGGACTTGGTAAATAAGAAACATAACAAACATGTAAGTTGGTCAATCTTGTAGAGCAAATCAGAAAAAGATTTAATTCAAAAAGACCAAAAATATATTGAAATATGCATATATTCTGAGGCTATGTATATAATATTTTTTTAAAAAAAATAATTGCAAAGGTTTATAAAAAATTGGACTGCTTAAGTGCAATTCAAACCTTGGTATAGTACTCCACCTACTTGAAGATTTCTCTTATATAAAAAGTGTCTGACTTAAACTTCATCCTACAAGTAAATACAGTTTTAATTCTGGTTAAGAGTATCTAGTTTTTAGAGAATAGTCATAATTCATAAAAATATAAAAACATTATAGTAAGCAGTAATCATAAAATAAAGTTTTATCCTGTTAACAGGTTTCCTTTTTTATTTTTCTTATAGATTAGTTTTGTTTTTTTTTTGTTAATTTTATTTTATTTTTTATTTTTGTTGCTTCTTTTTTTAATTTTAAAATCATTTTTTTTTTGTTTTTCTCTTTTCTACAAAAAGATGTCTTCAGATTAGCAGTATTATATTGTAGGATGAGAGTCAGATAAGTCATAATTTCTAGTTCTAACTAGATTAGTATAGCAGATCACATTTAGGTACCATTTGGAAGATCAGATAATAGTAGACTTATAAGTTAAATAATATTCTGTATTTATATATGTAGCTACAAATGGTTTAATAAAGTACTATAGTAACTGCTTAAGAAAAAAAAATAAAATAAAATTTATAAAAGGTAATAACATAGCATTATAGTATTATTTCAAAGATTCAAAATCTTTAAATGATACTAATTTCTATTTGAGCTTTAAATATTCTTGTAATACTGAGTAGACAAGTATTTTTCTAAAATCTTTAAATCATTTTAATTGTTTTTCTTCACTGATTTTGATTCTTCTGAAACAAATAATATATTGATTAAAAAAAGACTAGAAGCTGTAGAAAATGTTATTATGTTTTGTATTTCTTGTATGTTTGTAGTAGGATTAAAGATCTTAACAAAGTTTTTTAGCAAATTAGTCTTTATGGTTTCATTATTAGACTCAGAGATCTGCTTAATCTATTTAATAAATAATTTTAAAATGAATGTGATATTAGAATTGTGTTAACTTTGACATGAGAATGATTTTTTTTTTTGCTCTTTGTTGGACATGCAAATAACCTCCTTGTATTATAAAGTAGTTTATACAAATGAACCAAAGGATTATTATTATCAAATGATTTTTTGACAACCTATTATATTTAACAAGAGCTGGGCAATAAAGCAATTCATAGCATGGTACTTGAATTACTCTGTTATATATATTTCATATATGTGATAAGTATAAACATATTTTTTCTCTTATAATAAAATATTTAAATTTATTACAAAACAAATAGTAATATAATTTAATAATACTTTTTTCTATTGCTTATATAGCTTTTATATGTAACTTTTTCCAGAGTTTATATAAAGTATTTTGGTTATAATTGAGATAGTGCAAACAAATACTTAACTTTAAAACCTTTTTACTAATACTCTTTATAATCTAAGAGTTGATTTCCCATATACCCCATAGCTGCTCTACATAGTGAATACCTTTTTTGATATATTGTTTAATTGTGTTTTGCATATTATTATTATTGATAATAATACAGTTTGTAAGTATAGTATTTTTGGCAAAAACAGGTACTATTGTATCAGTTTCTTCTTCAAATATTTCTTGCATTTCTGCTTTATTATTTTTAAAAGATTTATAACTTCATATTCAGTTTCTTCAATTGATGCATTAATTATTTCTTGCATCTTTTCAAATAATTAATGATCAAATTTAAAAACTTCATATGATTCATCTTAGTCAATACCAAGATCTAGTTCTTCAATCAAGTTATACTTAAGATCAAATGGCGTTTCATGTAAGTTATATTTCATCATTTTAGGCTTCATAATAATTAACTGAATTTAATGTTATTTTTTTTAAATCAAATATATTATACCAACTGCTTATAAAATAAATAACTAGCAAAGTTGAATAATCAGCTAGAAGTTCAAGCAGTATTTATCAATATTGAATGAAGACAATATGATAATATCATATATTATTTTATATGATAATTCATATAATATTGAATCATATAAAATATATGTCATATAATATAAAATTATGTCATATTATCATTATCCAACACTAGTATTTATATTAATTTTATAGAATAGTTGTATTTAGAATCTAGATTAGAACAATTAAGACTGATATGATTGATAAGGTTGATATAACCAATATAAGTTGGATTTTTTTTTATTTGAAAGTGAACAATTGTGTAATTTTTAATTATTTTTTATTTAATAAAGTTTTTAAGAATTTAAAAATATATACATTGGTTTATACAAATAAATAAATAAATAAAATTTTTACTAAAGTTACCGAAATTAACAAGTTTAATTTTCAAATCTCCATATATGCATGCTCTAAATGCATACTTACAATTGCATCTTACGCCTTAGACCATATAAAATTAATTTTTTTGATTCTCATTACATAAAATAACTCAACAACCTGGCTTTTAATTTTATTTTCAAAAAATTTTACCTAGATAATAAATACAGTAAAAATTTTTTCCAAGATTTTGTTGAATTTGACCTGGCCAGGTTATGAGAACCAATTAACTAAGTTTATATGACCTTAGTTCCAACTACTAATAAATATTTTTAAATGCATGCTTATGGATCGGTCTAAAGATGGTGCATATATAGAAGTTCAACTATAATTAAACTCAGCCAAAGTTCTACAGTATAATAATGAATGACAATATTAATACTTGTGCATAAATTAAGTCTTTTAACTAAGAAGAAACAAATGTTTGACAATCTACCTTAAAAGCAGAGTCGGCAATAAGGCCAATGAAGCTCAAAAAACTAGTATCCATTGGCTCTATTCAAAGCTCCATTAGCTCCATTGCCAACCCTGCTTAAAAGTTAACACGAAAATGTGAACGCTTTAGTATTAAAAATAGTTATTATAATCAGAAAAGCCAAAAAAGACTTCCAAAATTTGCGAAATACAACCTTTTTAATACTACTAGTATGAAACGACGAGCAATCTTTGGAGACCAGATTATTATGGGGTTTATTTCTTATCGCACTTTTAACATATATACGACGTAGAGTTCAACTTTCTGAACCGTCGTACTATGAGTTGTAAGTGCAGTTTCCTTTTATGAAACCCCTGAAATGAGTGATTGAAAGTAGGCCACCGTTGCAGTTTACTATGTAAAATAGGTCTATCATTATAAGTGTTGATCACTCAAATTTCATAGGAAAAAATTTACCCCCATGATCTGCGTGACAAATCGTGTGACTGATACAGTATTTGTATGTCATGCAAAGCATGCACATGAGGCATACTATATGTACGTACGTATTACGACACACTACTCCATTCACAGCACACTACCCTATTACTACATACGGCATAACGGCAACATTGACCTGGAGGTAGTACGACCTAAGTACGACCTTCACGGCATAGCCGTAATGTCGAGGGTAGTAACTACCCTTATAAATGTCTGCACCATTAGTATTTACTAAATGCAATAGCGACCGTGTTGCGCAGCTAACCATACGTGGCACACCACTAAGTGCCACAACCTATATATTTACTAAATGTGCAGCTATCTTATTAGGTACTAACGGAGAATAATTTTACTTAACGTTTTTAAATCTGTTCCAACCCTAATTTAACTACTTTGTTTCTAAATAAGGAGTTTGAAAAGTTAGTCGGCAAAATTGGTCCATAACGACACAAGATATTGAATTCAAAATTTGGATTTAAGTATTTCAATTAATCATTGCTTTCGAAAAAACGTGCTATACGAAATGAATACTAAATTCTATGAACAGCTTTCCAATGATTTAACAAATCTTTTTGAAAGTGAAAACGAATTTAATGTAGTTATTGAAGTTGGTAAAGCGCCGAATATTCATTCATTTAAAGCGCATTCTATTATTTTGAATTCTCGATGTTCATATTTTCAAAATAAATTAAGTACAGTAGATTGTAATAATAATATTAAAAAAGTTAAATTGCCTGACGTTTCTACTGATATTTTTCCGATTATTCTCAAGTGAGTTTTTAAATTTCTTTTTGTGTATATAAAAAATATTTCTAACCATTTCGTATTTTATAGATATATTTATAGTGGCGCTGTTTCATTAGAAAGTAACCCTTCTACAATATTTGACACCTTAATTACCTTTGATGAATTTGACTTTAAAGAATTCGTAAATTACGCGCAATCATTTCTTATTGATAATCATTCTCATTGGTTGAATTATAATTTCTTTCGAGTTTTACAAAATAGTTTTACACATGATAATTTCAAAAAGCTACAAAAATTTTGCACTGATACTATCACTAGACATCCAAGTGTCATTTTTGATTCTGAAAATTTCACCAATATTCCTGAAAATGTCTTGGTTTCCATTTTAGAACTTGATGACTTACAAATGAGCGAAATAGAAATTTGGGATCGTGTTATTAGATGGGGAATTGCTCAAGACTCTTCTTTGAACCTTAATCTTGAAAATTGGTCAAATGAAAATTTTTCAACTTTAAAAAAAATTCTAAAGAGCTGTCTTCCCCTTATTCGTTATTTTGAAATTTCTGGTGAAGACATTTTCGAAAAACTCCGTCCCTACCGACAAATTCTTGATCCAACCATCTGGGTAGATATTGAAGCAAAATTTTTCGCTCCAAACAAGGCTATTCCCTCTTGCACCAGATTGCCTCCTCGAAACATACTACCTCCAATAACCTTGGATAAGAGGATATATATAAAAGACTTGGATCAAAATAATGCAACATTATTAAGTAAACATGTTCTAAATTGTTCAGAAATGGGTAGATACAATGAATTACTTGCAAATTTAAATAAATTATTAATAAAGGACCCAAATAATATGGCATTATTAAATAATCGTGGATTAGTTTATCGAAATATGGCTAAATTTGAAGAATCACTTGCTGATTTCAATAAATCATTAGAAATTAATCCGGATAATGCAATAACTTTATGTAATCGTGGATTATTATATAATGAGACTGGTAGATTAGAAGAAGCACTAGAAGACCTAAATAGATCATTAGACATTTCTCCAAATTTTGCAGTTGCATTATTTATTCGTGGCACGGCCTATTATTCAATAGGTAAATATGAAGAATCACTTATAGATTTTAATAAATCATTGGAAATCGATCAAAATAATGCAGAAGCATTGTCTTGTCGTGTAATGACGCTTTTAGATATGGGTCAACGCGAAAAATCTCTTGCAGATTTAAATAAATTATTAGAAATACATCCTTATTGTGAAGCTGGATTAACAGCTCGTATTTTGGTTTATCAAAGGATGGGGAAATACGTAGATGAGTTTTTAAAATTATCTATAATTGGTCTAGAAATTGATTTTTTTGCAACAAGAAATAACGGTTATATATATAGTCAATTAGGGCAATATGAAGAATCAATTACATGTTTAAATAAAACATTGGCAATTAGATCGAATGACATAACATCATTATGTTCTCGTGGAAGTACTTATTTAAAAATGGCTAAGTATGATGAATCGCTTACAGATTTTAATAAAGCATTGGAAATTATACCAAATTCTCCATTCCCTTTATTTGGTCGTGCGATAACTTATTTAAAGATGAGAAAATATGACGAATCACTTGCTGATTTAGATAAATTATTAAATGCTTATCCAACTAGCGAAGCTTTCCTAATTAATCGTGGATATATTTATAGCGAGATGGACAAATATAATGAATCTATTGCAGATTTTAACAAATCATTAGAAATTAGTCCAAATAATGTTATGACATTGAATGCTCGTGGATTAATTTATAAAAAGATGAGTAAATATGAAGATTCACTTAAAGATTTAAATAAAGCTTTAGAAATTAGTCCATGCAATGCTGAAACATTAAATATTCGTGGACATACTTATCTTGAGATGTGCAAATATGAAGAATCACTTGTAGATTTAAATAAAGTTTTAGAAATCTATCCAAATGTTCCATCATTATTATATAGCCGTGGAATAGCATATCAAAAAATAGGAAAACATAATGAGTCGCTTGCAGATTTAAATAAATCATTGGAAATTAGTCCAGATTTCCCAGATCATATACCTATATTAATGCACCGTGGGATAGCCTATTACAATCTGGATATGTTTGAAGAATCTTTGAATGATTTAAACAAATTTTTGGAATCAGATCCAAAAAACGAGACTGCATTAAAATATTGTAAAGAAATTTATCAAAAGACGACAGGCTTTAAGTTTTTTTAATTGGTAATATGTAGACTAAATATTTGTAACTTTAAGAATTTCATGTAAAATTCATTAGAATGTTGGGCGAGAAAAAATTGGTAACATGTAGAGTAAATATTTGTAACTTTAAGAATATAATGTAGACTTCGTTAGAATGTTGGGCGTGAAAAAAAATTCAATTGGTTAAATTTTTTATTGTTGCTTGACTTTCTTTTATTATTATTTTCTTTAATATATTATTTTATTGCTTTTATATTAGATTATAGGACCCGTAATTAAATCGAGTGTCTTAGTACTTGATTAAATATTATACTTGCTGATAATGTGTTATTTCAGACCGTCATATATTCAGATAGATCTTCGGTTCTCACCAAATTTGAGTATAAAGAATTGGTTAAAATTCAAACATATGATTAGTGGACGCTTAGTAATTTGCTATTTAAATTATACCTAAAGATAATTCTAATGATATTTTAATGATAAAAAAATCTATTCAAATAGAATTACTTTATCATAAAATATATTTCAAATATACAAAAATAAAATTAGATTTTATATTTTTATATAGAGTCAAACCTCTATAGTCACCTTCCATTGAGCGTATCATATAAAATTTATAGGTCAAGTTTGATTTTATTGGTTATTAGGTGAAATTCATGACTAAAATTTTAAATGGCTAATTTAATAAATTGTTATCCTAATAATAAACCAAGGATGGGATAAAATATTTGCAAGTGCCAAAACTTCTCCTTTATGATGGTGTCGAGTGAGTATAGAAAGTTTTAAAGTACTTATGCTTTTACTAATTAATTATATTTTTAGACTTTAAATAAACTTATTTAGAGTATAAATTATATTAGAATAATTTATTTTAAATTTTAATAAAAATCACGATTTTTTAAATCTTATTAAAAATAATCTATATATATAATATAATTCATAAACAATCAACTCTTTCTGATGATTACTTAAACTAAGTTAGCACCAAAAGTAAATCGAGGACTCGGCTCTGAAACAATGAGTTTATTTGATTTTACGTTAAAGCAAGAATGTAAAATAATCATATAAAAAAAATTGCATGATCTACGTGTACTCTACCCTTAACCTTAGAAATTCAATAATAAATTTGCCCTCAAAACTTAAATTTGAGGTCCATGTATTAGTTAAATTTGATAAACGTGCCATAATGTGATAAACAATTCATAAAAAAAATATAGATAATACAGATTATGCAAAAAAGCTGATGTTGAACATATAATCCATATTGTAGACTAACAAATAGCATCTCTATTTGTCAGTACTCATATGAAGGTGGCAGATTACAAGAATATTTTAAAAAAGAATTGTCATTCGAGCTAAACTAAAAATAGGAAAAAACTGCGATTCAAGCGTAACGTGAAATTAAGATTTGAAAGCATCACGTATAAAACTTGGTTAAGACTTTATCGTTGTGATTTATCAGTTATAGTACGTACGTACGTGATGTAGAAGTGCGGATTTGTGGTCACTAGGTCTCATACATTAAATCACAGCAAAGACTAAGGCTACTCGAAAGAAGGCGTGGAAGATTTGGTCCGAGAACTACACTAGGACCCTGGTTAGGTAGTCTTTATTATGAATTTACTTATTAACTATCTACTTGTTTGTAACCCTTCAATTACATGAAATCAATGGGTTTATATACATTACGAACTACATTGAGGTTTTGATACTACAATTGGGATCTTACAGCAATATGATTATTTAGGGTATTGGGGGGAACATATGACTAACGATAAGTAATTCATACACATTTGCGTGATTATGATTTACTAGAGCGCCCTACTATTGTCCTCAATGGAGTATACCTCGAGCCAAACCCTAATTATCATTATTAAATGCCTTTGCCTTTGTCGTTCATTGCGCATTTCGGGTCCCGGGTTATATGGCTTGGATCACGTTTTTGGTTGACTGCAGTCAGGTCACATTATCCCGTCACAACGTACGTATGCAGAAGGCACACATTCTATGTACTGTACAGTACATACATACATAAAGAATTTGTATTTGAAGATCTACATCGACTAGCCAATTAAATTGTAAATTTTTACGAAGCAAAAACACAAAATTGAAAACAAAGAAACAGCCTATTTTGGTACTCATGGGAATGGTTGGAGAATATTTTTACTTAACGTTAAACCTGTTCCAACCCTAATTTAACTACTTTGTTTCTATATAAGGAATTTGAAAAGTTGGTCGGTAAAATCGGTCCATAACGACACAAGGTATTGAATTCAAAATTTGGATTTAAGTATTTCAATTAAATCATTGCTTTAGAAACAACGTGCTATATAAAATGAATATTAAATTCTATGAACAGCTTTCCAATGATTTAACAAATCTTTTTGAAAGTGAAACCGAATATAATGTAGTTATTGAAGTTGGTAAAGCACCGAATAATCATTCATTTAAAGCGCATTCTGTTATTTTGAATTCTCGATGTTCATATTTTCAAAATAAATTAAGTACAGTAGATTCTAATAATAATATTAAAAAAATTGAATTTCCTGACGTTTCTACTGATATTTTTTCTATTATTCTCAAGTGAGTTTTTAAAATTCTTTTTGCGTTATAAAAAATATTTCTAATCATTTCGTATTTTATAGATATATTTATAGTGGCGCTGTTTCATTAGAAAGTGATCCTTCTACAATATTTGACACCTTAATTACCTTTGATGAATTTGACTTTAAAGAATTCGTAAATTACGCACAATCATTTCTTATTGACAATCATTCTCATTGGTTGAATTATAATTTCTTTCGAGTTTTACAAAATAGTTTTACACATGATAATTTCAAAAAGCTACAAAAATTTTGCACTAATACTATCACTAGACATCCAAGTGTCATTTTTGATTCTGAAAATTTCACCAATATTCCTGAAAATGCGTTGGTCTCCATTTTGGAACTTGATTTACAAATGAGTGAAATAAAAATTTGGGAACATGTTATAAAATGGGGGATCGCTCAAGATTCTTCTTTGAATTCTAATCCTGAAAACTGGTCAAATGAAAAATTTTTAACTTTAAAAACTATTCTCAAGAATTGTCTTTCTCTTATCCGTTATTTTGAAATTTCTGGTGAAGACATTTTCGAAAAAATTCGGCCCTACCGACCAATTATTGATCAAACTACTTGGGAAGATATTGAAACAAAATTTTTTGCTCCAAGCAAGAATATTCCTACTCGGATTTATATTCCTATATTTGCCTTCCCTATCCTCTTGATCTTGATTAATTATCATTTCATGTTCTTGTTTGAACAAATTTAAGAATTCGTAATGCGTATTATTCATATATTGTTTTGTGCAGCAGCAGCAGCAGAAATATAATTTCCATATATTATCAGATGTTTTCATTCAAAAGTTTGTATTTAGACACATTTCTGTAAGTTACTCTTTATTTACTACTCTCCTTTTTGGTTATTAGAGATAATTGTATTCTTTAGATTATGTAGGAGGACGTGAAATTATTTAATATCTTTACCCATTACAGTGACATGTTTTTATTTGTTAACTTTATTATTACAAGATTTGTCTTATTCAATTGGACTAGCATGTATCTATCAATCAGGTTGTAACTATCGATAAATAGATCTATAGAATTCATAATTGGTTCGCTTAGATTTGAGTTAACCTGGTTTTAATAGCAACCCATTTTAAATCAATCAGGTTTAACAATTGTTTTAATAGCAACCCATTTTAAATCAATCAGGTTTAACAATTGTTTTAATAGCAACCCATTTTAAATCAATCAGGTTTAACAATTAATTAGGTTTATAGTAAATAAAGGTTTAATTCAGTTGTAAGACAGGGTTTAAAATAAATACAGTAGTAAATTTGGTTTAGTGTCCAGCCAATTCAGATGGTTCAATATTCAATGTTCCTAATTCTAACTCTACAACTAAACGATTTGTCATACCATATATGAGAATTAGTCTAGGAAAATGTCGATCTGGGAGTTAAAAGATTCTCCGACTTATCAGCCTAATTCACGAACCAAGCGTCGCCAAAAAATCAGTTACGGTTTAAACTCAATCAAATTTATAGTTCCGATGGTTCGATATGTACGGTTGACTTTAGACTTTGATTAATGACGATAACAATAAAATTTTTAAATTACAGTAAGCGATAAAACTATACAATTTTTTTTTTTTGACTTTTTATTGCAAATCGAGCAGAAATCAGAAAACTTTTTTGAAAAAAAATTCGTCTGAATATTTAACATGTATTAAAGAAGGTAACAAGCGAATATATGAAAAAAGTTTTAGTTTATCTGGTTTTAAAAAAAAGCGTTATTGATG